TCTTAAATCGATATTATGAGTCGACAATTAGTGTCAATTGTCAAATTGACAGATAAAATAGTTTGCTTTTCTGAATACATTTTAAGAACTATATATACCACATTGACAAAATTGTAAAGTCTTTACAGCCAACAAGATTTGTAAAATATGATCTTTGTTGATCTCGAAATTGTAAATATCTCATTTCCCAATGTTCCGCAAACAATAAACAAATTCTAACAAAAATTCCTTATATCCTTCACAAATGATTGCAACTTTGTTCGTATCAAAAAATAAAAAAAAAATAAAAATATAAAGAAAAAAGAAAGAAAGAAAGAAAGAAAGAAAGAAAAGAAAAAAAGAAGATTGATTTAGTTAGAAAAAAACGTACGAATTACTTTCGGAATTTATTGTACTAAGAAATAATTCGCTTTCTTCGATCGATCGGGGTGAGTGGATCACGCGCGGGTCGAGTGTGTTGATCGGAGGGTGTGTGCGATTTCCAGGCGCAGCTAGCGGGACCGCGTACTGGCATACAAAAGTTCTCACAGTATTATCCGAGCTCGATGTTACCGCCACCACCACCGGCTCCAATGGCGAGACCGGTTGCGATCATCAGGTCGACGGGTGAGTTGACTGGTACGAGCGCAAATTCACCGCCAACTTCCTCAACATCTCCGACGGATCCGAGCGAGCTTGGACCCAATCAACAGGAACAGATGGCAGCAGCGGCGGCGGTCGGCTTAGTCAGTTCGGCCTGTCAGAACTCCGTCGACCCGGCCGGTAGAAAAAGTCCCACGAGAATCCTTGTCACAGCACCTCACACCAGCAGGGAATACACGTTCGCCCATTTTCACTCCCAACCAGGACAGGTAAGACATTATTTTTCTTATAGAATAGCGCGCAATATACGTTGTATTGTATTTTTTTATTTACTTATTATTTATCGATCGAAAGTATCCGCTTATTACATCCATTAGGACTATTTAAAAAATTGAATTTGACACATATCATATATTTGTCTATTTGAGAATTAATGTTGCTAAATGTATGTTATACCCACGTGATATTGAGTTTTCTTTCCCGATTGTGACAAACTTCTCGATGTCGTTAACGATCGATTCCGTCGTTTTACAGCAAATCTTTACGTATCCCACTATCAGTTCGATGTCAGGGGTAATATCTCCAACGAATCTCTCACTCTTTTCGTCTCCGGTTTCGGTGACGAGACCAGTAGCCACACAAAGGTCGGTCTCAAATGTACCACCACGCTGGAATACAACACCATTTATCAACCTGGAGGATGATTATAATATGATAGCACCTATCATTGCGGGGACAACCAGTGAGCCACCGCCGACGATGGATGAAGGTAAATCAATTTCCTAGTTGTTTTATAGATAAAAGGACTGTCAGAACTTCTCTAACAGGACTGGAATCATTTCAGATCGCTACTTCCATCCGGTTCATACGAGCAGCGTCGTGGACAAAAGTGGTACTGGTAATCTCATGGGAACCGACTTAGGCGTGGCTACCGATCCCACGTCACATCACCATCAACAACAACAACAACAACAACAACAACAACAACAGCAACAGCAGCAGCAGCAACAGCAGCAGCAACAGCAACAACAGCAACAACAGCAGCAAGTGATGCAAGACAAAAGCGGTAGACCCAAGTCTCCCCCGTGACACTGGGGTCTTCGACCGGAAAGTCTCGCGACTTCAGCGGCGCCATGTTACACGGGGTCGTTACTCACTCCCATCCACGATAATAGTAACCATTTATATCACTCCGATAACGAGGGTGAACATTCGGATTCCTCATGTCGCGTCCAACGTCGCGACTTGAGTTTCCGGAGAATTGAGTGCCTGAGAGTCTGAACGTACTATAATTTGATGTAAGCGTAAAGACCGTCGATTACCCTTCGTACGTCGAACGTACGTTCGAAATTTGATTCCTCGAACGGACGTGAGTAAAAACCTCCTTTCTCTCTTCTCCTTTTCTTTTACGCTATAACCTCATAAAAAAAAGAAAAAAAATACGGAACAAAAAATCAAATGATGTCTCCTTCTCCTCGCTATTCTAGTTCTCCTTACTTTCTCTTCCGTTTTTATTTTCTGTTTCTTTTTGAATATCTTTCGCATAACTTTCCATAATCCAATCGATCTCACTTCGCGATACGAAAGGATTCTAGCGGAGATTCACTTTCAACGTGCCAATTATGATGAGGGAGGAAGGAAAAAAGGTAGGGATTGATTGGTGATACCGATTCAAGATTCTATTTGTTCTTTGTCATGTTTTCCTTTTCTATTTTCAAACGGTCTGCCAATTACGACGATGACGATTATAACGACGATCGATTGATTAATCTAAAATAATTACGTTAACGCTCAGACCTAATGCTAAATATATCTGCTAGTGGAAAAAAAATAATAACGAAGGACTAGCGCGTGCTAGTTACCAGAAGATGCTAGTTAAAAACAAAGTGAATATTTCATATTTCATTACTCGAACTCG